AGTGTTTCCAATAGTTACCTCTGGTCTCAATCCTTTGTTCTTTGTTTATAAAAAATTGTTTTTATTTTCATATTTATTTTGAAGAAAACTGGAATGAAGCATGAGGTGGTGGGACTTAAACTGCCAGTTATTAATATGTCGTCTCTTCAAGTTATATATGAAGACCATCGCACTTATGCATCTCAAGCTTCTGTAAGTTTCATATTCACTCTTTGGAAGTAGGTACATATTGCTCCCCATCATAATCTTCCTAGGATGTATACTCCATTATGAACAACATAATTGGCATCAGTATTGCTGGTTAAGATTTTTAGATTACTTGCAAAGAAAAATATTTGTGCATCATTCAATTGTTTATTTTTCATTGATGGTGCATTTACATCTCCTGAGTACCACTATGATTCACATGTCATATGGTCAGGCTCTTGTAGAGGAGAGCATCTGGCAATCACTGGAGGATGATATCATTCCATCATTAAATTCTGGCAAGTCAAACTGGCTGGAGTTACAGTCAAAGCTTCTGCCAAAGAAATACAAGGAATCAAATGTTTGTGTCGCTGGAGGTATGCAGGTTGTTGTTAGCTGCATTTACTGTATATCTGAATAAAACGCAATATTACTTACAGTTATCCTGCATATAATTTATACTTGAAGTCTGAAGGCTAAAACAATGCATTGCTAGTCCAGCTAAAGTAGGCACAGTTATGTCCAAAATCTGTTTTGCCTTATGGTGCCAGCAGCAGGATATTTCAATTTGATCTATGGTCTTGATATAACTCTTGAAAATGGATATCTTTGAAACGGCTAGCTTTGATACTTTTTATAGAGGAGATATGGAAAAGAGAGAGAGAGAGAGAGAGAGAGGGAGTATCATGTTTATTCATTTATGATATCATAGTATCTGTAAATATTATCACTTGTGCTTCTTCCAAGGAAGGGATTTTTTGGCAATACATTTCCATTCTGTTGGGGACATGATATTCTGGTGGATTCTTACTTACTTGTTCTTCACTGTTTTCAGAGTCGGTGAAAGTGGATCTGGAGTTTAAGAATCCGTTGCTAATTTCTACCTCCATAACAAGTGTGTCTCTAATCTGTGAACTTACCACAAATTCTGATGACCTAAAATTAGGTAAGCTGTTTCTGTTATTTGATGTTCACTTTATAACTTTGTTTACATCCTTCAGTTTGTATATGCAATTCTTATCTCCACATTTGGACTTTGTAAAGTAGATAATGAGCCAAGTAGCTCAAGCTTGGGTCCTGAGATTTCCACAGAACATAATCAGTAAGCAGCTAATTTCCTCAATCAGGTTTCTGTCAAATTTGTTGACCTATATTTGAATGATTAAGATGTGCCATGTATGTCAACAACACCACAGGGTTACAACCTCCGGTTTTTCTTCTTTCACGTTGTCTGAAGTGGATTTCACATTAGGTGGAGGCGAGAAAAATTTGGTGAGTCTGAATTAGATACTTAGATTGATTGATATGTTCTAATATTTAAAATCTTTCTCTACCTGAAAATTTTCATCTTGTGCATAAACATGTTTTATAAAATCTTGATGTTTCACTTGTAGTTGTTGGTCTTTACTCTGCTTAATCAGGATTTTGAATTGCATGTGTTTTCATTTCAGAAGACAATTATGAAATAATTGTTTGGTCAATTGTGCGTAGAAACTAATCAACAAGTCGTACTCTATTGATTGCCAAGTTACTGAAAGTAGGAGTCTATACCTCATTGCTACTAACCTTAATTAAAGACACTATGTTGAATTTCCTTGATCCCTGTATCTCCTTGGTGAAGTTCTGAGGTTTTATGTAGCCTGTAATTGTTTGTTACGTTTTACTTATTGTTTTGATTTTTTCTTCTAGGTGAGACTCACGGTTACCCCCAGTGAAGAAGGTATACTCAAAATTGTCGGTGTAAGGTGGGAGTTGTCTGGTTCCATTGTAGGTGTGCATTACTTCCAATCTGTGCCTGTAAAGGCAAAAACTGCGAGAGGAAGAAGGAAAAACAAACTTACACCCACTGATGCCTTGAAATTTTTAGTCATCAAGGTGCAAAATTTTCCTCTAGTTTAATTTCTTATGATTTGTTGAGACCTCTAAAGTTTAGAAATTTTGACTGTGCAGAGTCTACCCAGGCTTGAGGGTTCAATTGATCATCTGCCTGAGAAATTGTATGCTGGAGATCTACGTTATCTTGTTTTAGAGTTAAGAAATAAGTCAGAATCCCCAATAAAGGTAGTTTTCCTTTTCTGATCATTCATGTTCTCTACCGTTTTGCCAGTTAATTCATTTTGTTCTGCTATTGTGTGGATGTTACTTTTCTATGAATTTAGTTTGTTATGGTCTGGTTTATCATATTAATTTTTGATTGATGACCGGATAATCTAATGCGCTAAACTATCCACTGGATTGTTCTTGTGCTAACAAAGATTGTCTGTCCTCGTAGAATCTTAAAATGAAGATTAGCCATCCAAGATTTCTAAGTCCTGGAAATCATGAAGAAGAGCTGACAACCGAATTTCCAGATTGCTTAAAGAAGGGAGATGAACAAAATATTGTTCAGCATGAAACAAATAGAACAAGTAGTGTATTTGCATTTCCAAAGGTCTGTGGCAAACCTTTTCTTCAAGCCTCAAAGACGAATGTGCATGTTAGGGTATTCTAACATGGTTTTGAATGCTGATCTCTTTCAGGATGTATCACTGCAAGGAGACAGATCATTAAGGTGGCCTCTTTGGCTTCGAGCTGCCATCCCAGGAACGATATCTTTGTATTATACAATATACTATGAGATGGAAAATGTATCAAGCATCATGAAATACCGCACCCTAAGGATGCATTATACTTTGCAGGTGATGAATTTTTAGGCTGCATTTGTTTTTTTGTTAAGAATTTGATTATGGTATAGGCAGATTTGCATTGGCTAACAAGACTAACCATTTCTATATCGTACACTTTCATCTAGGTTTTACCGTCTCTACAGACCTCATTCGAAATCACCCCATCTCCATCAAGATTGCAAGAATTTCTTGTGCGTATGGATATCGTGAACCGTGCGAATTCAGGTTGTTTCCAAATTCACCAGTTGTCAACAGTTGGGTGCCGGTGGGGTATCTCATTGCTTCAGCCTGTTGATACAATCTTACCTTCCAAGTCTCTACTCGCTGGGCAAGCTTTATCTTGTTTCTTCATGATAAAGGTCGTTCATTAAATGCATTTCTAGTAGCTAGTTTGGTCTCTCTCTTTTTCAAGTCTGAAATTAGAATGTTGTTCAAACTTTCAGGATTGCAGAAAATCCGGGACTGAAGACGAGGAAATTATGTCCCTTCCTCCCAGCCAAACCGACGTAAAATTGTTTACTCAGGATGACGATGAAAAGCTTTTCGATATCGTTAGCTCACCTTTAGCAAGCTTCCATGATAGTGAAAGGTCATGTCAGGGACCCTCGGTTCAGGTAAGCAAAAATCCTCTTTCAGGGACATAAATCTTATTTGCTAGATTTTTTTGGAAATATACATCACTCTCTTAAACACAGTTTCACTTCACTGGTAACTTATTATCGGAGTTGTAGTTAACTCAAATTGGTATGATGAAACAGGTAAGTCCAAATACCGTTGACTTCATTCTAATCTCTCGCTTGGCAAAAAGCAGCAGTCCGTCAGTAGTTCCCGATTTACCAAAGATTTTGACTCACCATTCATGTCATAACAGGTAAAGTACCCGCAAAGATATATTTCTTCAGTTTTCCAACATATTGTCCACTTCTAATCCCATTGTTGTTCAATTACAGTATCAGAAGCTCGAGTCCGCTGTCGTGGTCACTAGACGGTCCCCAAACCATACACCACGACTTTTTGACCTCCTTGTGTGAAATAAAACTAAAGATGGTAATCAGAAACACATCTGAAGGATTATCATCTGTGACCATCAACACGAATGATTGTCTACCAGACGCAGCAGCACCTACTTCTTCCTCTGGAAACCAATCCGGGTGGCGCTATGTGCCAACCGTAACAGAGGAAATGAAACTAACTTCAGATGTCATGGGAAGCCGCCTGGGAAAACCGCCATCTTCCATGGAAAGCTCACCTCCATTCATATGGTCAGGTTTAAGTTCCACAAAGGTCCAAATCCAGCCATTATCCACAACCGAAATCCCGCTGCAGATATCAGTTTTCTCTCCAGGTATCTACGATCTGTCTTCATATAAACTTAACTGGGAGCTATCTGAGCATGAAAGTGCAACATCATCAGGGACATGCCAAGGTTATCCTTATTACCTTACTGTTCTTCAGTCTGAGTGAGCTTTTTATAGTTCTCTCTAATGGTTGGATGTCTCCATTATTAAGCATGAGAATGTTCTATTATGATGTGTCATTGTCCTCTGTGAATTCATTTTGCTGGTTTTTACGTCTGAATTTTTGAATTTTGATTGTAAGAAATGCTTCTAGTAGGAAAAAGATTAATTTATTTTACGCCGAAAGGAAAAAAGGGTTGAATCTTTTGTGGAGTAAAAATATATTCTGGCCTATTTAAGTTTTATACTTTATATTTTAATAGCGGAGTTAATTTATTTCGTTTATTTATAGATTGTGTGATTTATAAAAGAAAAAAATTTGAGAAATTGGAAATGCAGAACAAACTTGGATTTGATGAGGATTAAATGAGGTGGATACCGTATTATGTTTGTTCAGTAATTCTTCTCGTAAATTTAAACAAAGCCGGGTGTTTAACAAAAAAGTAAAATTAAAAATATGTCATTGTACAAACCAATATACTGAAAAATTGCCATTTCCTGTTTCAACGTAAGTTCGTGTATTTTTAATTCTAATAATGGGAAAAAGGATCATTTACTCTAAAACAAATTTGAGGAAACAATTTCACTTCACAAGAAGGTAGACTTTATCTTATATGAAAAGTACTATTTATCGAATAAAATGTTTCCTCAGAATGCTCAGGTTTCAATATCACAAACCTGACAACTCGGGTTATCCAAAGAAAATAAAATTAGCATCTCTCAAATTTAAACTTGGTGCTCATGGTTACACCAATATATAAACATACAACAACTCATATATATATATAAAGGTAAAAATAATGACAAACACCAATCTCCAGCTACTTAGATGGTCTACAACACCGTTGATACTATTACTACTACATTGCCTTAAAAAGGGAAGTGTATTAACTTTGGAGAAGTAGAATCATTTCGGATGATATTTTCGGATTGCACCAAACTACCTATCTAAGACTGATCTTCTCCATCTAGAAGATGGATTTGGTGAGTTTTGGTCGTGGTTTTATGATGATGCTTTCATAGGGCTTCGCTTGTTCAACTTGGATGTAATCTCTTGTTTTAAGAACCTGCAAAATTGGCAAAACAATAAGACAGCTTCAAGATCAGAGCTTTTTGTTTTGTTTAGGGTTGTGTTATGGACATACCAGGGTTTCGAAAAACATTCTCGATGCTTCTTTACGGGTTTTCCCAGCTAATAGTTTGTCTGCCACAAGAACATTCTTCCCATTCTCAGCTTCTTTATCAAATAACGTCTGGAGATACTTTGCCACAGCCCTATAAGTAAAGAGAAACAGAATTTTCACATAATTCAAGCCCATCACGTCTCTTACTGGGGAAGTTTATGGAATGTGGAAAAGTTAATAACTGTACAGACCTAGTACGAGAAGACCATCCACTGTTCTCTAGAAGACGAGTTTCGTCACCATATTGTATGTCATCGTCCTCATGATCTTCATCTACTTCATCATCATCCACGTTCAAAAACTCTAAAGACACAGAATGCAAGAAATTAATAAACAGAACAAATCACAGGAATAGCAGCATCTCGTATCCAAATTATGCTCCAGAGTTTAAGCTCGTTTAGTCCAGTTATAAACCAGGCTATGATGACCAGAGGAGTCCCATTGGTCAAATAAAGAGGATACAGACCATTTGGAAAGAAATTAATTGAAATTTGAAAAAAGCTTAGAACCTGTGTCATGTGCAACTTCCATGGTATCCATTTCCTACACCATAAGATAATAAGAGAGTCAGAGGCATGTCTTACTTCCATAAGGATATGACGCCACAAAGAAACTTACATCATTGTCTCCCATAAGACCATCACGAGAAGTATGTTCTCCATCTAGTGCACTTTGCATGTAAGCCTCATCATTAGACATCTCATTATGCGGTTCGTATTTGTTATAAGACTCTATCTCTGGATTCATCCCATCATTATTCGCTTCCACAAGAGGTTCATTGCAATTTTCCAAAGCCATGTTACTCAAATCACCAGCTTCTACGCATCCAGTTTCAGTGGAGCCAACTGTGTTATCGCATGGAGTCTGATCGTCTATCCCAATCTCGCTAACTTCAGCTGATGCATCCGTTTTCTTATCTTCATGTGGAAGTTCATCTTCAACTTTCAAGTCCGAGTCATTGAAAATGGGGTTGTTATCTATATCGCCTTCAGCAATTTCAATAACGTCCCTGCGACCTTTTTCATTAACATCCCCACAAACATCCTGACCCCCTTCTCCGTCATGGTTTTCATAGGATCCTTCCACCTGTAAATCCTCTACACTGTCAAGTTTTTCCTCAGACGGCATTTGACTGACATCGTCACTCACTACAAGATTCACTTCATCAGCAGCTCCATTGCCGTCCTTCAAAACTTCCAAGTCAGATATTTTTTCAGCAAGCTCATTATCATCTTTCATCTCTTCCTGTTGGTTTATGATTTGTTCCTCCTGTGGGTGAGTATGAGCTGTACCAGGTTGCTCCTCGGAATCATTAGGGTGAGGTTGAGGAGCAGAGTTTTCTTCCACGGCTGTAACAGAACATTCATTATCTTCCACCACTCCAACAGAAGCATGATGGTCATCATTCTCAATTATCATGATTCCTCTTAGATCATACGGCTCATTGTGCAGAGATACTAATTCCACTGACATACCTGAAAATCATTTAATAATATTACCTATGTAACTGCAGATTATAAGAACAATCAACAGAGCGTGTATACAACAGTCTACATTTTAGCGTCATGAACTTACCCGTGAATATTGGCTCCTTTAAGAGTCCATCCTCCAAAGCCTGCCTTTGAAGCATTACGATCTCAGGAATGGTGCAAGGTGCCTTCTTTCGCACCCGGCGTATATCTTCAGTGTTTGTCAGTTGTTGACGTATAATGCTAAACAGAAAAGTAGGTAACATCAGAAGAAAACAAATAGAAACTGAGATAAGGTAAAAGAAATACCACTCCAAGGTAATAAAAGTGTGAAACTTAAAAGAAGACCAAACTTCAATTACGGTAAAGAAAAAATCAGCATCCAGAAGTTTTTGGTCCAACGAATTCAAGATTCACACTAATTTACCATTGACTCTAGCTGCACTTGGAGCAATGAAATAAAAACTAAGGTATAAGAAAACAGTTAGATAAACATACTCGCCATGCAAGACCATAGGGTCATCCATCAAAACCTTCCTCTTTGTAGCAGTAGAGCGGGGAGCAGCTCGTAACCGTTTTGTAGATGCTGGTTCAAGCACAGGCGTAGGCCTCATCTTCAGAAAGGATGACTTTCCAACTGAAAAAAAAAAGTATATGATAATTGATCCATAAAGCTAGCTCAAAGAGCAATAGAATGTATAAAAGAACAGACAAAGGAACCAAAATAAACGGATACCTAAGATAGAAGACAACAAATCATCGTCATCAGGGACAGAATCTGCAGTTCTCTTTGACTGAATCAGTCCAACTGACTCCACAGAGTTCAAACTTTCTGCAGTTAGTGTGCTCTCAGTAAAAGTGCGTTTTTTCCCAGTAATGTTATTATTCCCCGCATCATCATTACATGTGCCAGGGTCTTCTTTATCTGGCGTAGATTCAACCATGAAATCATTTTCATCCCCCTGTCTGTTAGGTGCAACTAATACCTTCTCAGGTGCTGGCAAATCAGAATCAGTAAATCCAGTCAAATTTCCCAACTGTTCATCAGTTACGTGTGCATTATTCAGCTGCCCATCTGGTCTACTGTACGCTTGCTCATTTCCTTGTAAACTAGAATCTGTTTCCTGATTGACCTCAGTGGCAATGGCAAAATGATCTGGCAACAATAAAAATTATAAGAATAAGGCAGGCACTAAGATGTCGTATTAGGTTTGCAATTTTCTTTGCCAACAAACCTCGGTTCTCTTCTCCAGAAGATTCAAGTGGAGGAACAGCATCGGACTTATCAGTTACACCATTATTAACATTAGTTCCTGCCTCAGTCATTACTTGACCAGGATCCTCCATCTCGGTGGTGATGTGAGAACAACATGGAGATGTAACATGTACATGCTCTGCCCTCTCCTCCTCTGGCTCATTTTGTGTGTTGACATTTTCATCTATCTGTGACTTATCTACCTCCACAGGAGTAACTGCTGATTCTGGGGCATTATATTCAGAAGACAGGTCTTCCCCACGTTTATGCATCTCATTAGCATCCAGCTCCCCAGAGGCCTTTTTACCTTCTTCTGCATTCAGATCCTCTACCTCCATGTGATCATCGCATGCCAGCTGCTCTCTGACACTAGACGAGTTTGGCACCTCAACTAATCCAGGAGTCTGAGGAGCTTGAGCATCTTCGATGAACTCATTATTCATAGCAAGATCTTCAACCTATCAAAAAGAGAGATTCATAAGAAATACTGATAATAATACTATCCAATAGTCTTACCAGAAAAGTAAGCCAATAAATCTGTGTAAATAAAATTGTAAATTTGGAGTCTGTAATTGCATAGTACATTAAGACATAATGCACAGTAAAATATATCGAATTAAGCACTGTGACTCAGGTGACAATTATTAAGCAACTATATGTATGCACCTCGTGCTTTATGTCTATGATGCTACGCACCTGCTCTTCATTAAAATCCCTGGGCATGGCTTCAGAGACTCCTTCCATCGAATCCTTTATCCCGGGTGTTGCCGCATCCAGATACACATTGTGATCATTACTATCAACAAATAGAATATCTTCCATAAGTAAGACTTTTGATTGGCAACTTGCACGTCCAAATTATGCACCAAAGGTCCACATCCAAGAAGGATAAGACTCACAGAATTGCAGTTCTAATTAACAATTAAATTACAGAACAATCACAAAATCAAGGTATGAATGTCATGGAACTTTAAAAGCATGGTTACAAAGCTTGAAAACACACATTCAAGCGCCAAAACGCAAAGCTTTTTATCATTCAGTCAACTCGAGTTCTTCTCTCATGTGAAGCATTTAAAATCTATGATAACAATCTGAAGTAGCGTATGAAAACATATAAAAGATAATGAACAGCTCCAGAAAAGAAGATCAAGCTGGCACTTTGATAGTTAATTTGAGAGGTACCATAGTGAAGCAAAAATGCAATTATGCTACAAGGAATATAGCATAGATAATGAACAAAAACTAACCCAGGAACTCCCTCATCGTCGGATCCAATAACATCCTTATCCTGGAATACTGCCTGCACAACAGTAGAGGGATAATAAAAGATCACACCCAAAATTAAATAATAAGAGAGAAGTTCTGATTTCAAATACGCAAATCTTCACTAGGAAAAGAAAACATCAATATCATCCTGACCCTGCAACATGACTGCAACCTGACACTTGAAATTACAACCTTTTAACGGTCCAGGACTCTACAACTGAATGCCAATCAGAGCTTCCAGCTGCTGCGTCTACCCAAACGGTGGAGAGAAAGAACCCAAAATTTAAAAGCAAATGAAATCTACAGATAACCTCTTCATATTCATCTTTCTATATGGTTATCCTATTTCTTGTTCGAAAATGACTTGAACAAAGTAGAAATTTTCTGCTATATGAACACGAAAATACCTCATCAAGATCCAAAGCAGCTTGAGAAGTGTCACCATCACCAAATCGCTCTGGAAAGGTATAAAAATGAGTTTGCTTATTTAAGGCATAGGTATCTACAAACTAAAGACAAGTAAGTATGAAACAACCACTGACCATCTAATCCAAATTGTGACGTTGAGTATACAACACCATCCATGGTATCCTGAAGGGTGATCTGCTCTCTTGTACTAACATGATGATCGACGTAATTACTGCTAGACAGGAAAAACAAGGAGCAACAAATAAATAAATTATGCAAAATGGCTTAAGAGTGGAATACGAGTTTGAATATTAAAACATCAAGAAACCAACCCCTGAAAGATCTCATTGTCTGGAAGCTCAAAGTCATCAAGATCAAATGTCTCAGGCAACGTAATTGAGTGATATGGCGCTGTAGATTCTTCAGGGGGTAGGTCAACAGCAGCAGAGCGAAAAGCTTGCTTCACCTTAAGCAATGCCTCACTGCAATCATCGAAGAGGTAATTCACCTTTCTCGAATATATACGCACAACACCGAGCAGAAGATGACTAGACAATCGCAATGCAATTGGAGCTTCCGGAAAGAGAATAGAATCTACCCAGAAAAGAAATTGGTTATATTAGGAAATATTTTGAATGAACTAGTTTAGCCACATAACCACAGAAAAAGAAGGAAAATTTAGCTTCTGCTAACCCTAATGAGCTTAAAGTAGTGAGACCTGAATCAGAGGTTTTGAACACAAAAGCAAAAGTAGCAAATACTCACCAACGGAGACTCCAATATCAGTATCAGCGACCTGATTCTTTCGAAGCTTCCTCTCCAAATGGGCAGCAATCCATATTGTCCCAAGTGGCCCTTTCTTAGCTAATATAAACTGCGAATAAAACATTCCTCGTCCTCTAGACCAAATAAACCCTAAAAAAAAAGGAACCAACTTGTTAGAATTTCACCGTAAGAAATTGAGCTTCAAAAACTATTCAGATAAGTAAATCCCTTTCCGAACCAGTAACATACGAAGAAATCTTCAACCCAAAGATACGCCTAATGAAAAATTCAAAAAGTTTCCAAATTTCGACAACAGAATCCAAATTAGCTCAAACCGACAACAATTGCCACTAAGTAGAGAGTCCTAGACTACTTGGCGAGCTTTCGTAAGTAGAATACAGAGCAAAGGGTAGATCAATTACCGTGGAATTCACCAAGCTCAAACAAGTCCACACAGCTCGATTTGAACAGAGTCCTCGCGGAAACCCTAATTCGCAGAAACTTCGAAAAAGAACACCCAATTTGGGTAAAAGCAGAATCCTCTTTAAGACAAAACTCTTTCTTCTTGGAGATTCAGACACAACAACGAAAGAAAGCAGTAAAATTTGTGGAAATTGCGATATGCAAAATAAAAAGTTTCGAAATTTGGATCTTTGGTTGATTTTTGATTAAATGAGGGATTTGGTGCGGCAAAGGAACACATGTTTCGTGACATACGTCGTTCTCTCATTGGTTTACAGATCAGCGGGTCCCCCATAGCTTTAGATTTAGATCATTTTTTTCAACAATTTTGTTTTTGTCAACTAGCCCCAACAGTATTTAACTTCATTTAATTATTACTTGAAATATTTTTCCATTTTTTCAAAACATTTCAACTCGGCGGCTTCTTTGCCTCATTGCGGGAAATCTGAAAATAATTTCCAAAATTTTCATTAGAAATAAGAAAACAGAAAAATAAAGATTCTGTATTATTATTAGAGGTCTGACAACATTCTGCTGTAAAAACTGTGTAATTTAGGCCCAGACTACAATGCAAAGTATTTTGAACAAATGATGGATAAAAGTTGTTTTTTTCATGTGATGGTGTCACACAAAAAACTGATAACTATCATGATTTAACAAATAAGGAAAAAAAATATAGTGAAGCATAACTTTTTAATTTTATGATTTTTCAAATTTTTTTAGTAAAGGTTTTTTAGTAAACGAATATCAAAATACACTCGCAAGTGCAGTCTTATTCGTTAATTTTACTACAGGTAAATACTACTACTAGATTAAACCGGGCCTCTGGTTTGCCTTGGTCTGATTCGGATGTGTCTGTGCCTACTGATTTACATCAGAACCCTGAGTTTCCCAGAATAATCATCCAAAATCTTCCCGGCTTTAGATCATTGTGCTTTTGTTTTTACTCATCAGCTTCGAGTTCAGCTGAAAACTGATCTAACCGTTCGGCTTCCAAATCAAAATCCCTAACTGTAGCATGGTTAACTGATCCATCATCGAGGCTCGCATGTATCTGTCTCTTTGCATACCTGCATTCATCCAGAAACAGAACCACATGTAAGCAACAAATCAGACCCAAGACCGACTCTAATGGCAATTACATGGAAATGATGACTCAGGAGAGTTTGTACCATCGACCGTTCATTGCTTCTATACATTTCTGTGCATCTCTCCGATCCTTGAATCTTACAAGAACAACTCCCTGTGGATGATGCTCACAGACCTGTAAAACAAGAGATTCGATTGATACTCCAAAATAATCTCAACTTAGCAACAAAGCTATATGCATCACAACCACAAGCTTAAGATAAAAAGACACATCATATTACCTTCACTGAGTCAAACGGTCCATGCTTCAAACTCTCCTCTTTCACATCTTCCTCTAACTCAGCAACCAGATCCTCATCAGTCTACAAACAGAGTAAATGGTCGAGCTATGTAAGGTACTTTTAAAAATGGTAACATTTCTCATACTAACATATTGGACAAGACCCTACCCTCAACTCAGCTGGACTGAACATGTAGCGCAGAACAACCGTTGCAGGTATTGAGACCTTAGCATCATCTGTACCACCTACGTCAAGAAAATAGAGAAAATGCGATAAATATGCTTAGAATCCACTAGGAACAACTTCCAACTTCAACAACTAAAATGATAATTTCTTTATGATTTTAAATATGCTAAAAATCAACTAGGAATAATCAGAAAGAGATAATATCGACATGACTAAATGTTCCCTTTTGATCTCATGCTTCCGAAATGGCCACTGACCTAAATAAACATGATAGCGATGAAAAACTGGCTCAATAACAGGAAGTGCAACTTCATCGGTTTAGATATCACAAGTCATCAGAAAGAAGAAGACATGAATGATATCTTTGTAAGCCCTATATCGAGTTCCTAAATTCCCTTTTGTTTTGATAGTCATTGAAAGGTTTCCTTCCAAAATTGATTAGATTAGAGGTTTCTAGTGCAGTCTTTTTGCAAAGTACTGGTTAAGTTTAGAGAGTTCCATAAAGAATCTGGTGAAGCATAGAGAACTTATATACATCTTTCCCTAGTAAGAGAAATTATAACTTTAAAAATAAACTTTCCTATGGTTAGTACGGAAATGAATCTCTAGCATCTCCTTGCATCTTTCTCTATTCTGTGTCTCTCTAGAGATAAAGGTAAGTTTCTAGTACACAAAAGCGAAAACTTACCCCATCCAAGCAACTTTTGCTCGACCTTTTTAAGCTTCTTTTTCTTCTTGTTGTCGGTTTGCTTGGTTATGAATCTCTCCCCTGAGTGGAAAAAAAGAAACAGTAAAAGTCAATAAGAACCATTAGCAAAATATTGTCGAAACCAAAGCCACGGATGGGATGTTTTACATAACCCATAAACGAGTAAGATGTTATACATCAATTGTACAACAGTATTCACCTTTCTGCTCAAACTTAGCTCGAGAAACTGACATGAGGAGCTTGTCAGCAGGACGTAACGGAGCCCCATCTAAGATTTTAATTGCCAGATCCACTGAGGGCTCCTAACGAAAACGAAAAACAAATACACATGAAGAGAAAACAGAGACATAATTCAAGAATCATAACCTTATAAATCTCACGGAAGAATTTCAAGTATTGTCATTACCTTCATATACGTGATAAGAGCATCGCCTTTTAATTTTCCTGTCCCCTTGTCACTGTAAAGCTTTATCCGAGGCTTGCCAGTTTCATCCTGCAATGTTTATCAGACCCACATTGTTAGGGGAGCTTACACAAGATTCCAAAAAAACACGGAAAGAATCACAAGATAGTGAGATTTACCTCCTTAATTATGCCGCATTTAGAAAAAACTTCAGCTACCTGTAATTGATACCCTACTATCAGTCCATTTTAAAGCTTCAGATATTAACAATGGTTGAAAAAGTATGACCACAACTTACTTCCTCGAGGGTGACATCATCGGGCAACCCAGTAACATAAATATGTGGGTTGACTTTTAACTCAAACCACGAATCTGGAGGCTTGTTTGGTTCCTGAAAATGAATTTGAATCTTAGAAACGCTTGCAGAAATTTTCATGAGGAAATGCAACTTTTTTTCTTTGATTCATACAACACAAACAACCATTATTAGTAAATACAAAAAACGATGGTAAAAAGTATTCTGCTAGTCCTAATATAAGTATGATGTCTAAGAACAATTTGGTTTTTCTTTCCCCTTTACAATGTGCATATCGGTCAAAAGGTAATTTACCCACTACATTTCAGCAGCTAAAGAAAAATCAATACTCCCCAATCAAGAAAGCCAGTACTTACAGCTCAAGGTCGAGTCAAGTGAAAACAAACATGATTTGGTGAAAAAATGTGAAGTAACATGCATGACCTCGAGAAAGAGAAATGATGATTGTTACGAAACCGAAATGAAGACAAAAGACAAAAACAAAAACCTTCTTTTCAGTTTCTGGCTCTGGTAGCTTTCTCTTGCCGTTACTGTTTATTTCAGCTGTTTCATCAGAGCCATCTTCTTCTTTCTTACCAGCCACATCATCCTTAGCGGCATCCTTCTTATCAACAGAAGTATCAAGAATGTTAATTGTTGGAAATACTTCGTCTTCCTTAGCAAAGGTCATCTCTTCGAGTCCATACGGGTCAACGCTACCCAGTGGTGGATCGTCCTACAATAAACAGCATCAGCACTTAGGTTATAAAAAAGTTATGAGTAGGCTAGTTAGGTTTCCTGATAGTCAATTTTGATAAACACAGATAAGAATATTGGAGATAGTAATACTAATTGAGAATTTCTTCAGAAAAGGTAAAGCCAGGAGCCACCAAGCAAGATGACACATATAAATGATTCCACTCCCGACTTGGAAGTCCAGGTGGATAACCTGAATTCCCACTAAAATAGTAGAAACTGGGATAGAATGATTGATTTGGCGGACAAAACAAAGCCTCACCTGAGGAACCCATACTCTACGAGCTCTGTCCCATTTATATCTCGTTCCATCATCATCTGTGAACTCATCTTCGCCCTCAGGTGGTGAAGAAGCCCTTTCATGATCATCTTCGACAAGCTCAGTACCAGAGACAGAACCATTTTTCAACCTTTCAGCCTCCTCTTCTGCTTCTTTAATCTCTCTCTGCCATTTCTCAAATTCATCCTCAGTACTAGCAGAGGCTACAATAACAAAATACTGTGGTAAGCATTGCAAATTATAACATTGAAGATTTCATTTTCTATATAAATAACTAACCAGTATAATCTTGCTTCTCTTGCTCGGTTCCAGCATTAGATCCATTTACCAACCCAGATGCACCTAGTCAGATACCAGATAGTAAGTGCCCTGATATGGGATACTAGAAAAAATGCCAAGAATTCAATTATCTAGCAAGGGTGAAAAGGATCCTACCTACAGCCGGATAGACAATCTCAGCTCCGGATATCCTTGACATCAACTCGGGAATGGCAGATAGTGGTTGCCATTCGCTTCTTCCTTCAGCCCAGACAAGGGTAGTTTCTAGTAGGTAACCATTCCTGAAATGGTCTGCCCAGTCAAAGCAAACAAGTAAAGGTACAGGTCGGAAAACTGTCTTAAAACCATGCTATTGAATACTTGTTCAATCAAAATATTAGAAAGAAAAATTCATATCTAATTTTACAGCAGACACAATTTCAATACAGCTAGCCTTCTATTACAAGGATAAAAACAAATACGAAATACCTATAGATTCAATTTGTTTCTAACCCAGCTGTTCTAATCGAGTTTACGGACAGTCTATATGTCTTATGAACCTTACTACAACAAGGAAATCTGTTTACATGAAAGACTTACCACATAGCTCAGAGACAGTATATGGGCCCAGGTTCTGCTGATTTTCACCAAGAATGTACCAACCAAGATCAGTAGCTGCAACTGTTGCCCCTAGAATTAAGAAAATACAGATGATGAAGATGAGCATCCCAGAGCTCTAACAAAACAAATGTATAGATGTAACTATCGCCACAAAAAAGGCTTAGACTGATTTTAACCATGACACATATTACAAACAACGCATTGGTAAATCTCCATACGCCCAAATTTTTCATATTTGATCAATCTCCTCTAAACCCTAAGAACTCTCTCCCAATAAAAACAAATTCGATATCCCTCCCAACAAAACTTGTCCGATACCGCTACTTTTACAAGACACGCCACGCGAAAACACCAACGAAGAACGTAACTCGGAAATTTGAATAAGCGAGAGAAGAAGAAGGTTTCACCTGTCGCTGATGGTGGAAGCTGTAGATTATCAGAGTCGGACATTTTTGTTTCTCGTTAACCTTCAAAAAATCGCAAATTACTGTAAACGACAAAACCGACTAAAAGAGTGACGCGTTCGAGAGACGACGAAGAATGGCGGAAGCAGGAGGAAGACGGTAGAGGACCCTGACCTTGTTTGGATACAGAGGTAATCTTATCCTTGTCTCGGATAAACATGAACCAATATACGGCCCATTAGGCCCAGCTTACAATAATTATTAGTACTATTTTTTACTGAAATCATTGGGCCCACCTTATTAAATCAAACTAGCCGTTACAAAAACAGCCGTTCGAGATCCAAACAACGGTCATATTAGAAACTTTACCTTCTTCAATCTCTCTCTCTCTCTTCACTAGCTTCTACATAAACAAACTCGTTGTGCTCTTCTCAAATCCATAATTCACACTCTCTTCTTCTACTTCTGATCATCAGAGAAAACGAAACCCATTTCTCAAACTCCGAAAATTTCCAAAATATCATCATGGGTTTCATTTCTTCTTCATCACCAGTAGAAGAATCTCATTACCATACACACAAGATCTTCCTTTTCTCCAACTACATCCTTCTCGGCGCTGCTTCAAGCTGTATCTTCCTCACACTCTCTCTCCGTCTAATCCCTTCCATCTGTGGATTCCTCCTCATCCTCCTCCACGCCACCACAATCGCCGCCGCTGTCTCAGGCTGCGCCGCTGCTTCTTGCGGAAGAAACCGTTGGTACGCTGCTCACATGGTAGCCACTGTGCTCACAGCCATATTCCAAGGCTCTGTCTCTGTTCTCATCTTCACCAACACATCAAAATTCCTCGGGAGTCTTAAGTCCTATGTGCGTGAGGAAGATGCTGCTGTGATCTTGAAACTTGGTGGTGGGCTCTGTATTGTTATCTTTTGTCTTGACTGGATCGTTCTTGTGTGTGCTTTCTTCTTGAAGTACTATGCTTATGTCGATGTTGGTGATGGCGTTGCGATGAGGAGGACTGGTAAGGTTCAGAGTGAGGAGAATCCTAAGGATTGGCCATGGCCGTTCCAAGTTTAAAGCTAGTGTCTTTTTGTTTTGTGGTGAGAGTTGTTGAGTTGGATCAATATCAAATGTTGGTTTTATGGATCTGTTTCGGTGGGTATTATTGTGATTTGTTCATTTGTTTTTTGAGTGTTTGATGTAATTCGTCAATGATATATATAGTCCTTTCCTATGACTTGTCACTTCGTAGCGTTTCCTTAAGCGGATACACAAAGATGGGAACTTTGATGCATAACCATTTTATGGAGGAGGTGAGGTAATTACTCTGTCAACCATAAAGGAAACAAATTTGGAAGTAGAGGAACAAAACACAACTTAATACTTATAAATAAATCTTATTGGATTCAGAAAAAGCATTAGACAATTGGATACAATACTAGCAACAAATAGAGGAGCAGAAATAAATAAATAAAATCGTCAAAATAAAGCAAATTCTTTGGAGGAAGTCATTTAAGTGGTGATCCAAACAAAGCAAAGCCTAACACATACTTTCTCTACACACATTCCAACATAACAATCTTCTGGCCTCTTCATCATGGTGTTGGTGAAGATCTTTATAGCTCGCTTGGGATTGTAATATGGAAGCACATAACATTACTTCTTTTAAGCCCTGATCTTTCGACCAAATATCCAGCTGAATGGTATGTTTTTTGCAGCTTCTTTGCTTCTCCCTTGAGCCCTCTCTTCAAGTTTGCGGATCCTAGCAGGCAATCCACAGAGATAGTCCTGTTCGAAGCAATTAAAAAAAAAAGAAGCCATAAGTCAGAATTAAGAGTTAAGAACTCAGTTTCGAGTTTGTATCCAATTTGTAGCTAAACTATCACCAAGAGCACAAAAGAAGTTACAATGCAATCTAGATAGGATAGGATTTGTAAGTTCTTTAATGCAAGATGAGGTTTTTATAGAACAAACTCTCAAGTCAGAAACAGCAAACCGTAATGGTTTCATGGTTCTAATGTTGTTACCTGGGCCCTGTGCCCTTCACTAGAAAGGTCTGACAACTTCTCCACATTCCACCTTTGCACAAGAAATTGCAGTATATCAGCATAGTCTCTGGCAGTGTAGACACCAAGTCTCTGGGCCACGGACGAGAAGTGATCAAATAGATTATCATCACGACCATCGTACATCAAATGAGCAGGCATCGAGATCTTTTTCTTCATCATGTCAGCAAAGCCCACGATTGTGGTATCAGGATCAACTTCAAATAGCTTTTCTACAATCTTGGTGTAGGCGTGTTCATGGCGCCTCTCATCAGCAGCAATGGTGCCACAAATCTGAGCAAGTTTCAAGTCTCCAAGATCCCTTGCCAGTTTGGCAGTGTTTCCATGGGAGATGAATGTTGCTCTTTCTTGAAAAGAAGTATAGATGAATCCTAGGTAAGGATTGTTTTCAGTTTTTGGATCCTACAAAACAAAACAAAACAAAAAAACAATCAATACGACCAAAAAAACAGACTTGCTGGTTCAGCCTTTTTAAGAAAAGCTAGCCATCTTAAGCTTACCATTCCAGAACCAATGAGGTATTGAATAGTTTTTTCAATCTGTCTCATGTCTACTCGTCCAGACAGGTAAAGATACTTGTTAAGAAGATCACCATGTCTATTCTCTTCAGCAGTCCAGGCCCTTGTCCATACAGCCCAAGGAGTAGGACTTGCTCCAGTCTCATCTCTAACCCCGTCCAATGTATTAATCATAGTCTGATATGTCGGAAGTGCTTCCTCTGTGATCATATCACCAACAAGCACTACGAAGTAGTCATCAGAAAGCTCCTTACATCTTTCTCTTAACTCCTTAACTTGGTCATAGAATCCTTCTGACTCAGGTTCAGGGAGAAAATCTGTTGGCTGCCATGATTTCTCAACGGGTTTTAGATTAGTCAACAAGTTCTCATTAGCCCATCCTTCTAAGGACTTGAAAATCTCCAGCTTTTGTGGTGGCATTGAATATTTCACTTGACGATGAACCTCTCGAGGAGGGATATACGGTTTCCTTCCATTTGTATCCTCTCTGCAATTCCATTAAAGAAGATTCCAGAATGATTAATAGAATAAGAAACTTCAGAGACTGAAAATACTGTTATTAACACAACCACCAGAATTAGATGATAAGGTTTCGTGTTATTCAGGTAACCAACTTGCAAACAAGTTATAGTCTTTAAGACACCTCCAAAAAGGAGAGATAGCAACACGAGAATAATCAGTTTCTTGAAAGAAAAAGACAAGCTAATGCGTTATTCAATGTTCATCATAGATGATAGATAACAACAATGAAGGGCAATTGCAGTACAAGACAAAGCATACTCTAAATCAAAAATTCTTCTGACCAAAACAGTATCACCAAAATAACAAGCAACACAAGAAGAAACATTTTCAGACCTAACTTGACCAACTACAGTGCATATAAACACAGACATAGATGTATGCATATGCATAAACATAGAGTAAACCCAATATACCAAAAGTCAACAATATTAAAAAGCCTTAACCATTATCTTGTGGGATGTGATTTTATATAAAAAGACTTACACACTAGCAATAAATTAAGAAGGGACTGATGGGAACATTGTAGCCTGATAGGCCAACAACCAAATTAAATGATATTTTAATTCAAAAAATAGGGAACAATCCATGCATGCATATATGGAGAAGTGTCAAATAATTACAATTCACAAACTAGTGATTACAAATATTGATTTTTTACAAGAAAGACAAAGATTGCTAATTTCTCTATCAAATATTTAAAATAAAGCAAAAAATTAAGAGTTTTGCGATGTCAAACATGTCCATAGCTTCAGCAGAAAACAAACTGAATGGAGAATATGTAGGATAAAAGTAACTATAATGATCATTTTAAGAAATACGTGGAACAGAGCACACAAGCGTATGGATAAATCCAATGCTTTATCCTAACAAGCAATCGCAAAAACGAAATAAACATATTTGACAGAAATAGGAGATGATTGCATATAAAAATCAAATGTTAGATTAATGATCATCGATGCACAGACTTAAACCCCAGAAAAAGAAAGGGAAAAAATTTGGGGAAAAAAAAAAACAGAATTTCTCCAAATGAAGGGAGAAACTCACGAAGAGTCGGAACGAATAGTGGAAGCCATGGAAACTCTGGATGATTTGGAGCCATGAGAATGAGAAGAACGATGATAAACAGATGATGAGGAAGAGAACAAAGCGATCCGATCCATAGCCATAACCATTGTTTCTTCTCAACGAACAAAAAAAAAAAAAAAAAAGGAGAGATTTCAAAGAGACAAAACGAGAAAAAATTCGATGATAACAGAGTGAAATGTGTATTTAAGGGAAGGAAGCACAAAGCAAAATAAAGGAAACGATCAGTTTCAGAAAACTCTCTGGAACGTGATTATTTTAGCAAGTGTGCATTTATTGCATAAACGACTCTTTTTTTTTATGTCTCGAAAATGTCCCTCTTAGGTTTTTCTTATTACATCACTGCCATTTTCTTCACCTGTTTTGTCTATTTCTGTCAAAGAGACATAATAGGCCCATGGGCCGATGCAGCTTCAAACCCAAAATTGCTTGTCGTATTATTGTAATCATGCTGTCAAAGCAAAATCATATTACGCGACAAAGATCTTTAGTATGACGACGGTACAAAACAATACTGTCACTGAAATGTCGTCATAACTCATAACAATAAAAGCTTCTTATATCACACGAGTTTCCAGGATGTCATGACGGCTGCATGCAACTACAAAAAAACTCTTAATAGTTGTCATAGTGCTCCTCCATGCTTTGCAAATTGCAAGCAATAAGTGGGGTTCGAGGATATATATATATATATAGATGTGTCATCTTCGAAGGAGACTCTCAAGAGGTAGTGGGTCTATTTAGGCCCGGTTCAATAATATTAATTAAGGTCTCTGGGTAGGAAAAAAAAAAAAAAAACAGGAATAGACTCTGTCCGGTGGCACCTCGCTTAGAGCCGGGGCTGTATCTATTCAATGGTCGAAAGGGAAACCATCAAGGCATCAAGGAATCAATGGCTTACCGGTGTTCAAATTGAGATGGTCTATGTAATGATAATCGTGAAACCGACAAACTGGCTCGAATGGGATAGAAAGAAGATCAACATTGCATTGTTTATAATTATCCTCATTGTTGTTTCAAGACTATATATGATCAAACACTCTAAAAGACGGATGTAAATTAAACAAAACAAAAACAGTAAACGCTTCTTAATTAGTAAAATAAAACACTCTTACAATACTGAAAAATCAAACTTCAGGAGGAAAATATGAATTGAATGCATAAACCGATCATAAAACATGATATACATGCCCTATCCCACACAATCACATTAGTGAATATTGTACAACGAAAATGAGAGAGAAGCATATAAAACTGAAAGATAGTTTGGTTACTCAAATCCACAAGTCACATCTTGATCACAAACATAATTCCTTTATTTATTTATTTTTTTGTTATTCAAAATATCTCTATAGTTTAACATCTCTACCAAAAACCCAGCTAACCGAAATAGAAGGTTTTGACCCAAGTTTGACCCTATCATTAGCTCTTTCCTCTAACCTCTTGATCCTCTGCGGCAAGGTGCACAAGTAATCCTGTGCTCTCCTACCTTCACCTGATAACCCCAACCCCAAACTCTCCACCTTCCACCGCCGCAACAGAAACTCAAGTATCCCAGCGTAATCCGTCGCCGTATAAACTCCCATTCTCTGCGCCACGGCGGCGTAATGATCAAACAGATCGTTATCTCTTCCGTCGTGCATAAGATGAGCTGGCATTGTGATCCGTTTCCTCATCATACTCGCCAGTGCCTGAACAGATCCGTCGGGGTCGATCTCGAATAGCTTCTCCACTATCTTCGTGTACGCCGTCTCGTGACGCTTTTCGTCGGCGGCGATTGTGCCGCAGATCTTCGCGAGGGTAACATCGCCGTAGGTTGTGGCTAGCCTCGCCGTGTTGCCGTGAGAGATGAATGTTGCTCGCTCTTGGAATGACGTGTAGATGAATCCATAGTATGGATTGTTCTCAAATTTCGAATCCTAAAACATTGACCAAAAAAAATTATATTAAGAAAGTCAAATTTCATATAATATAATGCCAAAAAATGATATAAAATGTGGAATACTTACCATACCAGAACCAATGAGATATTGTATAGTCTTCTCAACATGTCGCATATCAACACGACCAGTTAGATAAAGATACTTGTTGAGTAAATCACCGTGACGGTTTTCTTCCGCCGTCCATGCTCTAATCCACACCGCCCACGGCGATAAACTCCCACCGGTTTCATCCTTAACGCCGTCAAGTGTGTTTAACGTCGTTTGATACGTTGGAAGTGCTTCTTCTGTGATCATATCTCCCACAAGAACTACAAAGTAATCGTCAGGTATCTCTTTTGTTCGTTCTCTGATCTCTTTTACTCGGTCGTAGAATTCGTCGTCGTTCTCTGGCGCAGGTAAAAAGTCTTGTGGTTGCCATGAATCTTCGACCGGTTTGAGATAGGGTAGTAGTTTGTGTTCTGCCCAATTCTCCATTGATTTGAAGATCTCAAGCTTCTCTTGTGGTATTGTGTGTGTTATTTGGTTATTTACTTCTTTGATAGGTCGAAAGTACTGATTGCATGTTTCGTTTTTTTCCCTATAAAAAAGGTAAAATATTAATATCAAACAGAAATGGGTCCTGTGTACGTGTTATAAACGATTTGCTATATCTTTTTAAGAGTACAAAACTATAAAAAGGGTTAATAGTACAATTACACTAAACTCTATATATATGTGGTGGTTACGTTGCTCTTTCGCAACATGTAATTTGACAAAAAAAAAACTCCCTTATAGTCACCGAGAAAAAGAAAAAGAAAGAAAGTCCATTGTATTTCTTTTTTTTTTTTAAGAATTAGGAAATGTAAAAGAAATCATTTTATTATAAAAAATGTATGTTGATGATATTGATTGGTCTATTAGTCCCATCGTTTTTATTTGAAGACGTTGTGTCACCATATCCAGATTGGAATTTTGGATGTTGTTGATGTGTATATTGATTTTAATATGTCAACTAACGTCTGTACAATTTTACCAAAACAAAACAAAAAAGCAACAACGTACGTTTGTTAAGTAATTTTGCATGGTGGGGTAAAATTGTGAAAAACAAACCAGCCTTTTTTTTTTTTTTTTTTTGGCAATCAACCCAGCCTTTTAAAAGTAGAATGGTACTTTGTCTGACAAAAAACAATTTACTTGATAAACGATTTAAGTCTCAGTATGATTGTATGAACCCAAAAAAAGAAAAAGAAACAAACTTAAAGTTCAACCATAAAATGATTAAAGTTTACTCAAATATTATCTGAAAGGGAATCAATTAATCAAACTTATCTCTCTATATAGGATCTTAAGGTCACCTAATGTCATGATCCGTGTGAAACCAATCACAAACTTATGCATACATACACACACACATAAAGTGTATATATAAAAAGTGTAGTGATTCTGCAATATAGAAAAGTTTTCAGGTGGACCAAAAAAGTTGATATTATGATATAATGGGATCAACGAAGATACATGGAATCCAATGTCTTTAAAACAGTATTATAGTCCCACTGGACATAGAAATTAGGAATGCTCATGTTAATAAACATTAAGACCTCCGATAATGAATAAACAAAATCTTGAAAACAAAATTATGACATAAAATAAATCTTTAAACTGTCAGTAAAAAACATAACTTTAAAGAAAGTGCATGCGAGATAGTTTTTTATTTATTTAATTGTCTTAAGAAAACGACGTAATTATAATTTAGATCCCGCTTAATCACATGATAAATAGAAGACAACGAAAACGCAGAATGATTTATGCTAATTAAAGAGCATATCTCTAATTTATGTTCATAATATATCTCTACTACTACTACTACTACAAAAAAAAAAAAAAAAAAAAAAAAAAAAAAACTAGATGAAAATCGAAGATCTATCATAAGTTAAAAAAGAAGAAAGCGAATAAATCGTTACCTAGCAGGGTTTGTGGTAACACATGAAACTCGAAGACGACGAGAAGGAGAAGATCCACGGCGAGGAGAAGTTATCATCGCCGGCGAGGTCAAAAGCAAAGCCATCGACATTTTCTCTCTTTCTCTCGCTCTCTCTCCGCGACAGATCTCTATGATTCTTTCTCTCTCTCTTGTACTTGTTGTTGTGCGTTACAAGGAGGAATATGTCTCTATATATATACAAGAAGAGTTGACTAGAGTTGGAATGTTCTCTCCCTCTCATTGATTTTTACGTCTGTAATTATACTAATCCTTGAGCAACCATAGACATCTGTTTATGTTTTAATTTATATATGTCATTAATTCGTTTGTTTTTTCTTTACTTGAAAGATTCATCTAATTTTCCTATTTATTTACTCCCGTAGAAAAAGCCATTTTTCTGTGGAGAATATATAGATAACTCCCGCAGAAAAAGCTAATTTTTTGTGAATAATAAAAGTTACATAATATTTTTTTTTGTTTAATTTGTTAAAGAGTACGTACTTAAACAACATTGATTATAAATCTCTGTAATTTATAACCCTTATCAATTTCTGATTGTTCGATATTTACTAGCTAGTAGCTAAAGGTAGTCGATACAAATCATTGTCTCATTAATTTAATAATCGTGCTACGTAATTCTGAAAAGAGAAACCTTCGTAGGCGTTTCCAAATTTTGGTTGTGTTACTTTTTTAAGAAAGTATATTTCTTGGAATATCTCATTAATTTATATGTGGATTTTAATTAAATTCATGATGTTTTAGTCTTATTGTTTTTAAGTAATATCTTCATTGGTTGTCTAGTCAAAACAATATTTTATGAGAATTTTCGAAATAAAATGATGGCGAGTGCTCCTTTTTCTTTCTTTTCATAAATGTACATTTAAAAAAAAAAAATTAAGTACATTTAAAACCAAAACTACGGAAAATTTGTTCTCATTTTTAGAAATAAGACACGAACAAAAACTGGAGACGTAAATAATATTTTTCTTCACAAGAAATGTCATGTTATATACTGAAAGAAAATTCACAAATCACAACAAGGTATCCTAATATTCTTCATAAACAGAAAGAGAGTAAAGTCGTAACAGACGGTCTATACCGGATGTTGCTCGAAAGTAAAGTTGTCGTAAAGCTAAGTTTGGTTTTTGTAACATTGAGTCACTAAATAATAAAAGTAAAAGAAAAGAAAAAGAGAAGTCACCAAATATCAAAACTTAATTAACGAACGTCATTGACCGCTATATCTCCCAAATTGTCACTTAATTAATTTTTAGTATTCCATTACCAATTGGCGGTCGCTCTACTCTTATAAGAGCCTACTACGTAATAATATCAAATGACATTTCTTGCACTTGAAAATTGAATAGTGAAGGAAATTTATTTAAATTGATTTTAAACATTATTGATCATGTAATGTTTGTTGAACATAAGAACAATTTTGATCCTCTTTTTAGGTAACTGGTGATTTTTAGTGTTATTTTCATTATGATTCTCTAACGAATAAGCGTTACATAAATTTTAATTTTAGATATACTATTTTTTGGGTAAGATGTTGGTATATAAAACGTTAAAGTGAAACGTATCTGAAACGTGTACAGAGAAAGAAATCGAATCTTTATTTTTCAAAATCGTGGGATAAATCTTTTTAAGTTTTGAAGATTAGTATAGGATTAATTTGAAAATTAGTATCGAAATTATGGAGAAAAAGATAGATGAATTCCACAACATGGTTGTAATATTTTACAATTAAACTTTAGTAAGTATTTTCCTACTATATTGTATGTTTATATATTCCATTATTAAAACAGTAATTCTAGATATTTAAAACACAGAAATTCGTCAGTTTTGGGGTAGAAAAATAGTAAGTTGCTTGGTGTTGATCTTACTTAATTTGTTAAATGTTCTTGTGGTATGCTATACATAACGAGCCAAGCCAAGTATCGACGTAACCAAATTTAGTTTTCGCATAAACAAACGGCAATTTAGAGCATGTACGTGGGAGAGGTTCTCTCAAAATATATTATTATAATATACATAAATTAGTTTAATTGTATAATTAAATTTTAAATAATATTTTTTTAAAAAACCAGTTACATGATGTTATCATGTGTGATATGAGTCTCTCAAAAAGTTTTCAAAAGTTCTCATGTGAGAACTCATGCTTATGTCTCTCTTACTTTTTATTATTTTAATTTTCTATATTTTTGAGAACACTTGTGAGAACTTCCTACCCTACATGCTCTTAGGGGTGTAAATTTTAACTGAACTGATGCCAAACAAACTGAGTTTAATATGATCCAACACAAACCAAACTCCAAGCAATTAGTAACTAAGTTTCATTTTATTATTTACCACTAACCCTAAATAAATTCATGAGTTTTCTAATCGTTAAAGTCACAGAAGGATTATTATGCTTTTATGAATAACCGAGTTTTTACATGCTCTCTTAATTGATTTGATATTTATAATATACTTTTTTGAACCGAATTTAACCGAACTAGCTATAAACCAAGTCAAGCTCAAACGAAACAAAACAGAAATCTAAAGTCAACCCCTAATCAGCACTATCAACCCAATATTGTATCAAATATTCAAATCCATAAAACGAAAGAATCAATTATGTTTGAACATTGAACTAATTAATATGTTTTCGAAACTGAACAAACAGAAATACTATCTCGGGTTGGGTTAAACCCGGTATTGGATTATTATTCACCCGACCCGGTTACAAACCCGTTTTAAAAGTCACGCGCTCGGGAATAACACGGGCCCACATTTTTATGCTCATACATTCAGTTTTAATGATAGCGTTACCGTCACAGCGAAGCTAAACAACTTCGATTCGACAAAAAAAAAAAAAACTCGCCGCTTATAAACGGCGTTTGCCCAAAAAAACAGGAAGAGCAGAAGTAAAAAAAAAAAACCCCAAAAAATTGCACCACCATGACCACCGTCTCCTCCGCTTCCCCCGCCGTAACGGAAGGCGCGAAGATTGTCACACCGAGCTTGAAGAAGAATGAAAGAAATGGAAAGATACGGGTGATGTGTAGGTATGGCGGTAGTATTCTCTCACTTCCGCAGACGAAATCGCCGCGATATGTAGGCGGAGATACTCGAATCGTCGCCGTTCCTCCCTCCGCGGAAACGAGCTTCGCTTCTCTTGTTAGCCACCTTACGGTTACGCTCGGAATCTCTTATCCTTTCAAGGTTAAGTATCAGCTTCCTGATCAGGAACTGGATTCGCTTATCTCCGTCGGGACAGATGAGGATGTTCAGATCATGATGGAAGAACACGGATATTTCCCCTCCGAGTCCTCGATTCCCCAATCGCGTATCCGATTGTTTCTTTTCCCATTGAAATCAGAAGCTGGTGCGAGTCAGGGAGATTCAGATCAGTGTAAAGTGGAGACTAATATCGATTGGCTTGGAATCGAAGAGTCTAAGCCTATTAGCGACGAGTTGACACAGCCGGTGCTTCAGCACCCTAAGACGGAGATGTGGTTCGTAGACGTGTTGAAGAGCGCGGAGATGTTGCAGAGTGGGCGAAATAATAGCGGAAGTAGCGGAAGTGGAGATGGCAACGGCGGGATTTGTGGACAGGAGTCGATGATGCTCGAGACCAATTCCTCCTTTGGCTCGACATCATCCTCGGTTTCTTCGAGCAATTTACCTCCGATGAAAAGCACCGGCGAGGACAACACAACGAATTCGCAGGTCAAATTTGCGCCAATAGAATCAGTGACAAGGTATTCTTCTGTGCTCTTAACTGTTTGATTTCACCATTTGATTCCTTTATCGAATAGTTTTAGGTATAAGCGTTCTAAAACTTCTTTACACAATTTGTTGTTGGGAGATGCAATGTGCTATGAGTTTTTGAATTGTTGAGCCAATGACACAGATGAATTTGGTAGTGTTGCAGAACGAGTTTAAATGTGGGGTGATATATAAGCTATGTCTTGAAGTAATGTTGGAAAAAAAAAACTGAATTCTTGGAATGATCCTGTTGTTGAATTAGGTTCTCTTCTTCATGTATATGATCTGTAAATGAGTTCATAGGCTTAGGCAATCTGTAGTTTGTGTTACCTTGGGTTATGGTAATTCCCAATTCAAATCAATGCGCTCGGGGATATGTTGTTCCTCGTTTGGTATTATTCAGCTACAGCTACGGATGTAATCTTCGTAGGCTATATTTATTCTAGTATTTGAAGTTGAGTTGTGTTCATAAAGATTGTATGTATTGGTAGAGAAGATGCCAGTCCTCTAAACCTCGTTTGGTTCAAATGCCATTTTGTAACTGTTAACCATTTTCCCCTAACTTCTTACTCTATGAACAGAAACAACAATACTGCAGTCACCCCAATCTCTTCTCACGAGCTACCATCACACTCACATGCTTTTGAGAACAAACCGTCTTCAAACTTGTATGAGGCTGAGCTAAACAGACCAGTTCCAATCCCAATTTCCGGGTATCCACCATTTATGAACCAAGCTCAACAACAACATATCCAAGTCATTTACACTGGACAACCTTTCATTACCGGAAACTCACCTATGACATTGCCTGCCACAGCATACCATCACACAAACCACATCCATTATCAGCTTCCGCCACAACCATACCCAATTTATTACATTCCAGTCGAGCAATACAGTTCGAGGCACGTTCAACCACCGCCTGTGAAACTGGGCACCGTTTTAAACTCTCACCAAGTTGATTCTCAGGTGGTCCGCACCAGCAGCCCTCTAGCACCAGAGTTTTCCTCGCAGGTTTATCCTCCATCCAATCCCGTTGATTCATCGGTACAAACATCAAGTGAAGCTACTCTTAGTACTACTTGCAGAGATGTTTTCATCTATAACACCGACGACGATGACAACAACGATATGGCTCATGCTCAGATTTACAAATCTCAGCCTCCAGCTCCCACATTACCGTCTCAGTATTAAACCATTATGCTGTCCGAAGCTTTCAGTCAGTTACACGCACACACGCACACAATGCTTGAGAGATCTTAGAACCCTTTCTCGTGTTACTGCACTTTCAGGTATTTGGTTGTACAGTTTTGTTTTGGTCTGCACACATATATACATGCTTCTGGTTTAATTCTCTTTCAGTCGAGGTGATCCTTGTTTCACCTTCTTTCAGTCCCTTTGTTGTCGTAACACTCTGAAGTTTACAGTAAAGAAATTTGTAATAGTGTTACTTCTTTTGTCCTTGTGAGTGGTGAGAATATTTTTATATTCATAAGCTGAACATATTACGACGATTTTATTGGTAATCTGCGGGATAGTTATGCTATGTATTTGAGGAATAAAACCCAAGTTGCGAGGAATGCATACAACGATAACCAAAACAAAGATAATAATAAACCAGTGAGCTTAAACGACGGGCCAATACGTTGGTTGCAGAGAGAGTTTAATAGGGCCACATGCTTAAGTTTATTAGGTGAGCCAGTTTATGTTCCTGAGCAGTGAGTTTGAAGAGAAGTTAAGTCATCAACCTCTGCTTTGATCTCTCTTTTGAGTT